GCAAGATATTACAAAATAACTTAGGTCATTGCATGATCTTTCTTTGGAGAAAAAAATCATTTCAAAGAAATAACATTTTGTTGGTTGAGAATTTCAGTCAAACCTTATTTAGAGAAAAACAAAAAGCTGCAAGTTGTAAATTGATTTCATTTTTGAATCAGCTTTTTGAAATTAAGTTTAACACATTTTAAATCTATCTAAAAAAAATTGGATTTTGTAGATAATCATGGACTTTTGCATTAGAGTGTATGTCAAAAATTTGGCAGGTAACAGGATAATAAAAATTGGAATTGCATATTTTTATATTAGAAATGATATTATAAATTTGGAAGAATACTACTACCCCAGCAATGGCCTGAAAAATTTCTCTCCCTGTTTTATTGCATACTGTGCATCCCAACTGGACAATTATAGATTTTGATATGGATATAGTACTTTATACATTTTTTTCTTTATTTATTGCAAACGTTTATTTTTTAATGTTAAATGAACTTCCTTAGTTATTAATATGTTGTAAACATATGTACAGTAAGATTAGTTTTGATAAGTATATACAAGCCAATTGGGTTTTTTTTTCTTTTTCTCATTCTACTCTATGCTTCTTTGTTATTTATGTTGCATCTAAAATAATAAGTAATGCACTTTTTCCAAAGCATGAGTCACAAAAATAAAATTAAATATTTACACACATCTGTATAATTTATGAGAATGCTTTCCAGTATTGCCTGAAGAGATTTTCTTGCAGATGCTTCCCCTGTTAGAAGCCAACTTTTTTTTTTTCCTGTGAGGATCAGGATATTTTTATTGTTTGTTTGTTGTTGTTTTTTTGTAAAAAATTTTATTTCAATTTTCAATACAATTAATACTTTCAATACATTATATATATATATATATATATATATATATATATATATATATATATAATAAAAATACCTTTAAAATAAGACCTTATATCTATCTCGTCTATCTCCCCCCGACTGCATCGACCCTCTCGACCTTCCTTCCTACTTCCCTACTCCCTCTCTCCTCTCATCTCCTCTCTCTCCCCTCATCTCTTCCTCCCATCCAACTTCCTTCCATCCCTTCCTCTTCCCCTCTCATCCCTCTTCGGATACAGTTCAGGGGAAATACCCAAGCGGCACCTCCCTCTGAATTACTCTATCTATTTTATACATTAATATTTCTATATATCTGACCTACTTAATCCCACTCATCCCCTCCTGCCCTACCCCCCCCCCCCCCACTTCCCGGAGCAAAATACAGGGTTATTGTAAACAAAACAAACACAAGCTATAACTTTTAAAACAAAAAATTTATACAATAAACAAATTCATACTTAACCCTTAACTCCCTCTAAACTTTAAAAATAATAATATAAAGAAATCTACTATAAATCGAATATTATAAAGTTCTATAAATAATAATTATTACATCAAGAAAAAGTTAATCATAAAATAAATGGAATTTTAAAGTTCCATATTTATTCTGAATATAATCTATCCACCTTCTCCACACTAGAAGCCAATTTTTTTATACACGTAAAAAAGAGTTTTCTGCAGTGTAATGGAATGCACTTCCTGAATGGATATATTTTGTCTCACTGTAACAGCATTTAGACAATCTATAAAGGCCTATCTCTTTCTCTGACATTCTATTTATTAGATGGCTTTCACATTTATTTTATGATTATTTTAAATAAATCCTTTATTTTATATATTCTCTCTCTCTCTCTCTCTCTCTCTCTCTCTCTCTCTCTCTCTCTCTCTCTCTCTCTCTCTCTCTCTCTCTCGTATATAAATCCTTTGATTTTGTTACCTGCCTGGAATGCTCAGCAGAGCAGTAAAGTAGGGAATAAATGAAATAAACAAAGTGACATCTATAATGGATTAAAACTATCCTAACATAAGAACCAAATTAAGCACAACTGTGGAAGACAGCAGTGCTAGAAGGAACTAACTTTTGAAGCTGAACGCCCAAAACACTGAACTAATTAAAAAAGATCATATGACATTAAGTTGATCTACTCAGAAATCTGAGAAAGAAATGCTCAAGGATGAAATGGCATATTTGCTGCATAAGGTTATAGCCACACTATGACACTCATTTAGGTCATCCAGATTTCCAAAATACAACTTTTTCAGGAGAATCCATTAAAATAGGAGTTGGAAGTTCTGCCTAACAGCTACAGTTGACAAGAGAGAAAACTTTTTCCAGTCATGTAGACACAAGTGATGAGAAAATTTTCCCTCTTCATTTCTCCTTACATTTAAAATATTCAAATATAAGATTCACATGCTACATTCACTGTATACTTTACAGAAGAAAAAAAAGATACTGACCAGTTCCCACACCCATTCATACTTGAGCAATTCATAAGGTAACTTTACCTCATACTGGAGCTATGAAACAATGCCCCATATCATATAACATCTTAAATAATTCACATTCCACTTTGGTCAGGGATTTGTAATAAAAGGCTCCGAAAACAAACCCCTGCTTTGCCAGCATTGTGTGTATTTTTAGAATGCTTGCCCTTTTAACAAGAAAAGGAAAGAACTTGCTGTGTTTCACACAGCAGTTTAAAGCCACTTAAGACTTTGCTGGAAAGTTCATTCTCGTTTTAAGAGATTAAACATCCAATTCTAACTTTGGGGGGGGACACTCTAATTAATATCTTCTGAATTGTATAAGGTTCTATGTCACACAATACATTGCGTCAACAATACTTTCTATTTTTTGTTCACTTTTTAAAACTTCCCTTTCAGTTTATAGGCAAAGTTACCTAGTAATTTACAGAAAATGAAAATCTCCTTAAGTCATCAGTATCACTGTCTTGGTTGCTTACTCTTCATATATGCTGTGAAGGTCATTACAGAAACAATGCTTTTATGGTGTGCTGACTGGGAATGCTGAGTACTGGGAGGGGCTGGCTTACGGGTTTCAGAAGTCAGACAAGAGCACCAGCTTTCAAAACTTGAACTTGCAGCACCACAAAATTGGAATTCTAGGAAACAATCACCGTTGAAAACTGCCAGGTTCACCGAGAGAAGGCATAAACCAGTATTTGGCTGCCACTTATGAACAGTACCCAAATGGGAAGTGGCTTTTCTTAACAAAAGAAGATGGCTGTGGTGACAACAGCTCTGGTGGTTCTGTTTATGGGCACACAAAAATCCACACCAAGAACCACCAGCCACGCCTGGAGATTCCTTGCACCATTTGAAAGGGTTCCTTGCACCATTTGAAAGAGCAATTAGCACAGTTCTTGCTGCCTTTCACCAACTAAGTACTGCCCTGCCTCAGTCTTGTTAGTCTGACGCAACCTATTGAAGCAGGTTCCTACAACCTATAAACTGTCTGACCTTGACTATGTATCTGCCCTGTGGCCACACTGTTGCTGCTCTGGACTTTGATTTCAGCTTAACCTGCCCTTCCAGTTGCACACGTGCAAAATGAGCCCACCTCTTCTCCCTGTTGGGGTTTCCTTTTTGACTGAGAATCATTAGCTGGAGGGGGGGAGAGGGAGGGGGGAGGCTAAGAGCACCATTCTTCCAAGTGTCACCAGCCTGCAAAGCACCTTTAAAAGAAATCGTTTGTCAAATGGCCCTTCCAAAATGCTCAAAATGGGTATATAGTTTGAGCAGATCACTTTCATTCTTTTGTATTCTTCTTGGACATTTAAACTTGGCTTCCTGGCAAGGAAGATGGCACTTTTTCTTTTCTTTTCTTTTCTGTTCTTTTTTTTTTTTTTTGCTGTTCTTTTTCATTCTCATAGGAACTGCCAATGAGATAGTTAGACTGAACACTTGTGGTGGTATATAAATTTAATTAAATTTAGACAATCCTCCCTCCCACTTTGAGGACAGAAGAAATAAATCTCTCTGGGTATACAGGTGATCCTCAATATACAATTGCAATTTAGCCCCAAATTTATGTTGCTAAGTGAGAAATTTGTTAAGCGGGTTTTGCCTCATTGTACGACTTTTCTTGCCACAGTTGCGAAGTGAATCACCGCAATTGTTAAATTAATAACATGGTTGTGAAGTGAATCTGGCTTTCCCCATTGACTTTGTTTATCAGAAGGTGATCACATGACACCGGAATGCTGCAACCGTCATAAATGTGAGTCAGTTGTCAAACATCCGAATATAAATCACGTGTTCATGGGGAATGCTGCAATGGTCATAAAGTGTGAAAAATGGTCATAAGTCCACTTTTTTCAGTGCTGTTGTAACTTCAGACAGTCACTAAGTGAACTGTTGTAAGTCAAGAACTACCTCTGAGTGTGTCCTGAGACATTATAGATAGAATTAAGCAAGAGTTCTACTCGAGTCCAAATTTCTCATTAATTTTTAGCCTATTTCTTTTTTCTCAGCCGGAAGTCTTCATTTTGACAACATGGGAATAGTTCCACCTTATAGAGAAGCTGCTAGGCATCATTAAGATAAAGCTTCAAATCCTTGTAGTCCGCTACAAAAATACTTGCCCTTCTTTTTTCTGACCTCTCAAGCAGCGTGAAAAGATAAGCAAGGGTTAAAAAGGCCCAATGTTTCCTGTTTTGCTCATTAAAACAAAATCTGAAAAGGAATTCCACAGCCATATGCGATTGGTGTTCTGGCTGGAGGAATAGGAAGAAAAGAAAATATTTGGGCACTTCAGAGTTAATCTGTGGCATGCAAAGTGTGTGTATTATTACAACAAAGAATTGGCAGCTGCTGCAGAAGGAAAAGGCTTATGTTCTGCCGTTCAAACTTGTCAGTCAACTGATGCCAGGGTTCTGGACGTCTGCCTCTTCAGCACACCCTGTTGCATGTGTCTATGTGAGCAGATTTGCTCTCTCTTCGGAGACAGTCCAACTAAGTCAGGATCCTTCCTTCCTTGGTGGAATTAGCTCTCTCTCTCTCTTTTCTCTCAAAGCATCTAACCGGAAACCTTCTTATACACCAGAGTCTGCTATTCCTTTGTAGATTTCACAACCTGCGTGTTTGTTTCACTTCCAGAATGGAAGAAGAGGAACTGCTCAAGGAAAGATTTCAGGCCATCACAGTAAGTAAAAAACATATACATGTTAAGAAAATTATACTTTCTCATTCTCACAGTGGCTGATAATGTAGTCTTCTACTCTCAGAAGCCCTTTGTTTTCTATTCTTATTTGATGTGACTGTGTAGCCCCACCAGTTTGAAGAGCGGCATAATTCTTTAGCCCAAGTACCTTCACAGTGGGCATCTAAGCTGACAGCTCCAGAGCACCGATTGCAACAGATGCTGGAGTCACACTATGTTTTACGTCAGGCTTCTGCAATGCTGTCATTAGGTCTGAGTGACTCTTTGAAGAAACTTTGCATTTGAAGGACGCCAGGACAGAAAACTAGAAAAGAGAAGGAATTCGACATATCCATAGCTTGAACGTAAATAACCAGACTTCTGCCTAGCTGAAGGAATATTTGTTGATAATTCTGGAGAACACCCAAGTAATTGGGGTTGTGATTGTTTAAAGAGCGATTGTTTAAAGAGCAGCGTAGGTGAAATTCAGATCAATTCATACTACAGTCAGGAGATTTTGTTCCTTAAAAGTCAATGATATGTGTTGTGCCTGTGGGAAAATGTTCTCAAAGGTGTTGTGTTAATCAGAAGATACAAAGATGAAGACATTGTAATATCAAAATGTATTGTCTTCTGGGTGTCTGTTGACCTAAAATGACCTTCATACTCCTATGCTTTGACAAGTTGGGTCTACAGGCTTTGCCTGCTCTGTAAAGACATCATTGATTAGATCTAAAGGAACAATTTTCAAATGGAGCACAATATCCTTCAGGAAAAATAAGCTAACTTTTTCAGAGTATTTACCCTGTGCATATATTCTTTAATTGCTAACCACTCTTAGATCAACCATTCTTTCTCCATCTATGAATAAAAGACCTCTCATTGATCAACAGATAAAACTATCACCTATCTAGCCAGGTTTTTCAATATAGACAATTGAATAAATGAATAAAAAAATGTTTCAAATAACAAAGCTTAAAAAGAAAGGGAAAGGGAAGACACCTGAGTTTTTCCCATCTCCTTCCTAACTACCACCTTTTAAAAATGTTAAAATGAACAGTCAGGCAAATTGTCAGGTGAAAGATGCAGGCTAATAAGTTTTACAAACTTTTTCGCAAGCCTGCCATAGCCTCTTTGTAAATAGTGGATCAAAGGTTTTTCCATATCCGTGATAATAAAAGAGTATAAAAAGTCAGCTTTATCGTAAAATACATTTTGCACCTAAAGGAATTACATAATTGTAGACATTCTAATTTGTATACCACCATCCATATTCAGTTCAGAAAGTTGCCAAAAGATATTAAACTGGGTGAAGATGTGTTTATTTTATATTATGACATATAGGAAGTCCACAGCTGGGCAAAGTTTTCAAAGAAAAAGGTAGAATATTCTCGAACTGCTTTTTAAAAATCAAATATCCAACTCATACAAAGAAATTCTTCAGGCACCCTGAAAATCAATAAAATGCATATCATTTAATAACCAAAAGCAAAAATAACCCAATCTCACTCTAAGGAAGATTCAGAGTTCCCTGTTTGCAAATATAAATGAAAATCTCAACTTAGGGGACCTACTAGATACAAGAGACTCTGCACTTAGCAAAGCAAATTTATTCTGCAGTTTGCCATTTTTATAATGATATCATTGCCCCAATGGCTTAATTTATATCATTTATACATATGAAGTAAAATATAATATTTGCATAAAGTAACATAAGTTGAATTGTGTAATTTATGTCCCTTGTTTAAGCATAACAACATGCTTTTGCATTTAATGGACATTCCCGAATAGCAAATACCTGCTTCTTCCAGTTAGTCTGTTAAAACAGGCTTTCGTTACAGTTTATAGAAACATTCTGCCCAGAAAAGTCAGGTAATTGGGGAGTTCACTTATAAAGTACAAATTCATTCTGATAATCCATTCAGTTAGGTACTGGATTTTCTCAGGCTGTTTATATGGCATCATCAGGAAGAAAGCAAAGTATGTAATTTAAAGACTGGCAGCAGGATGTTCTTGAAATCTGGATTAACTGTACTGTCTGAAACCACTTAGCAGAGGTGTGTCTAGTAAACAAATTTTAAAAACAGTTGCACACAGGCTCCCATTCTATTCAAGAAACATTCTCCAGAGATTTATCATTAATTTAGGAATAGAACTCACCCACCTTCCAGCCCTTTGTAATTAAAGCTATTCCATCAACTTAATGAATTTTCCCTCTGGCCAGATCCTGCCACAAGATAAAGACAGACAACCAGTTGAACAGGGGCTGCCTTTCTGCATTTTTCTGTCTTGCAGGACTCACATATATATGCCTTCTAACCAACAGCTGCCTCAGGTGTGATGAAGGATGCTATCCTTTCAGCAGTATCCACAAAGAGGGCATAAACATAAAAATCAAGATGCCAACTGCAGCAGCGTGATCAATGCACTGCTCCTGCTCTAAATGTGCCAATCTTGGCACACATTATACAAATGGGGTATTTATTTATTTTATATGCCGCCTTTCTCTCTTAGAGGTGGGTCATGCAGCCATAATCACCATCTTGAGGTTGTTGTTGTTGTTTTTTCTTCTGCACTGCCTGGACACCACTGTACCCTATGAACAACTTTAGGGTTGTTTAAAGCAATTTAAAGATTAAACTGCCAATCTTCTTGACTTCAATCTATTAAGTGGCAAGGGGAGAATCATTTTGTCCTCTGCTTTAGGCAGCAAAAGCTTTTAAGTGTGACGCCAATATATTTGTAAAGAACAGAGAAACATCTTTAAACCAGGGGAGATACTTTTTCCCTGAAATCAGAGTAAATACATGCTTGACGTATTCTGCATGTAGCAAAAAAAAAAAAAAAAATGGAGAAAAAGTACATAAATTACAGAACCAAACCATTAACAGCAATTTTGCCAAGAAATCTTTCATTTATGCTAACTAGGTTTTTAACATCTATCAAAGAGAAAATAATTGAAAGACTATCTTGTAATGGAATTCTGCAGTTTTCAAAAGCAGAATCTTTTGGACATATAGTAACTTTCTCTATGCAGAGAATTCCTGGGAGAGGTAATTCAGTGGGATGAAAGCAGATGCCACTAAGTCAGGGGTCTCCAAACTTGACAGCTTTAAGACTTGTGGACTTCAACTCCTAGGACTTCCTGGGAGTTGAAGTCCACAAGTCTTAAAGCTGCCAAGTTTGAAGTTCCCTGCACTAAGTCAATAGCATACTCTTCCCAAGGTTCTTTGGAAATCACGAAATGCTACAAAATGTCTACTCCTTTACTTCAGTTTAAGACAAAGTCAACCAGAATGTTTCTCCTCCAAAGCACAGTTCCAGCAAGAATAATATTTTTTCTGCGCAATGAATAAAATACACTAGATATATTGTAATTCCCCATTTCTTATCTATTTTCTGTACAAGTTTAATGATACCTCAGTAATATAATACCAAAGATTTGGAACTCTCTTTTAGGTTTAATTATTTCTTATTTTATTATTTAATCACATATTTTTCTACCCATATGCTCCTGGCAAGCCAACTTACACCACTTTTCAATACAACATTAAACAATAAAAATAACCAGTTAGTAAAATGTGACTTAAGACCAGATAGGTAAATAATAAAACTGGGGAAAAATCATTGAAAGAGCCAGAAAACATTAATGATCATGTGCCAGTCAGAAAGGGAAGACTAGATTATGAAAGTATGATTTAACATTTCTGTTACAAACAGCCAGTGTTTAAAAAAATCCATAATGTTGGTGGCACTGCTAAGAAAGTTCTCCCTCCAGCTGTTTTATCCATGTACAGAAAACAGGCAGATGAATAGAGCTCCTGGTTCATAACATGACATATTATAAGGATACAGAAAAGGAAAGGAAGAGAAAACTTAGCTCAGTTGAAGAGAAACTGGAAAAAAATATTTCAAAGCATACAGAGACACCATTTTAATTAACTCCCTATAACTGAATGTGAACATTTCTCTTACGCTTTCCAAGATTCTTTATTTACCTCAGACTAGTATCAAAGATACCTTACTGAAATCATAGTTCTTGCTGCCTTGATTTTCCCCCATCTGAGTGGAGATTGACACATGTTGCAGAAATGTTTCATTAGATAAGCAGGACTCAAGGCATCAAGGAATTATTTATAAATGAAAACTAGTCCTTTGAGTATGACCTATAAGCCAATAAAGCTGATGCACTCCCTATGAGACACACCCAACAGAAATCTCCATATAATTAGCATTACAGTAATTTGTGCCAGAGAATAACCAATCCATGGATAACAATAGGCTAGTTCACTCTTAACAAAGTTGGTAAATTCAATCAACACATTAATAAATTAAATTCACCTGACTGAAAGCCCCTCTTGCCATCATACTTATCTGACTATGCAGACCCCAGTCTGCTCTTCTAGGCCCATGGAAGGTCAAATATCCTCCAATCAAATAGAATTACCAACAGTTAGCAGATCCCCACATTTATCTGGATTCAGCTTTATTTTCTTTTTATTCAAATCACAAGATGGTCAAAGCACGAGTCTACCATAGCTATTCTAATTTCACAGCTGTAATTTCTAACTGGGGAAATGAATATCATGCTCATGGCTCTCACAAAACTTGGGGGGATTCTGATCTTGGTTCCCTCATTTGTTGGTTTAAGCACTGCTTTTTGGAACTGGTTTTTAACCACACAGGTACAAACCGTACTTATTTTATTTCTGGGTAGCAGGATCCTATATAGATCGGTATTTTCCAACCTTGGCAACTTGAAGATGCACGTTCTTTAACTCCCATGATTCCCCAGCCAGCTTGGTGGTGAATTCTGAGAGTTTCAATCAATACATTTTTAAGTTTATCAAATTTATATATCACACCAAGAGTTGTTAAGGTTGAGGAACAATGCTATAGTTCCTTTGCAAAGTTATTTTACACCACAGTCTCTGCTGAATGTATAACAGTGTCTTAGCAAATGAGTTAGTTTGCCATGGACAAAGAGCAAAACCCAAACTGCTGCTGTAAATTGGTTTTAAAACTGTGGTAGTCCATAGTTGTGATGAGAGACATAGCAAAGTACAGTAAAAAAAAGGCTTTTGCCTATTCTGTTTGCAACATTCTCATGCATTGAATGAAAAGAGACTTTCCATCAAAATGTTTGAAATTTGTAATAAGCTTTCGTCCCTCCTTTTAACTCATCTGATATATCTTTCTTCTCTGTTCCAAAGCTGACTTTGCAGTTCACGTTGAGTAGTCATCTAGTCTAGAATATATGAGTCCAGCAGTTGTGGTTTGTAAACTTGGCTTATATGTGCAAACCAGGTCACCATAGCTTCTTCTGGAAAAAAAACAAAGCAAACCACCATCAATTGCATTCCTTTGGGCTTTCTGTTCTTCACAGTTGCCTCTTTCAACATGTCCTCCTTCGTCCTTCCTTTCCCACGACAGTCTGATTGTCCTCTACAAAGTAATAACAATGCAGCCAACAACAGCTGGGGACTCATTGGACAAAACATTTTAGTTAGTGTTACGTAGTTCTTATGTTACAAGAAAGTCAACAAATAAGAGCCTGAGAGCCTTTTATCTGCCCTGTTCTCCCCTGTAATGAGGCAATAAAGACAGCACTTCCAGGAATTTAAGCAACTGCCTGCAAATCTTTAGCACGCTAAAAATAATGCCTAAAGATGAGTGTAATTACCTTTAATCCCATCTGTTAATGAGCACTGCAGTTGCAACCTATGAATGCACAAATATCTAGCACCTGCATAAAAACCAAGCATGCTAGAAACCTTAAGAAGACCCAGGCCCCTGGTATTTTAGATACATCTAAATGGCTGACTAGGAGCTGCTTCGGTGTTGCATTGCAGTCATTAAGCAGACCTACGGCAGTCACATCAACATGATATATGGACTTTAAAAAAAAATAACACCATTATGTATACCATCGCCCATCTTTGCCATTTTCAGGATAAGAGGAAGCTGCAAGAAAGAATAACTCAGAGACGCCTTAAAGTAGAAGAAGAAAAGCTAAAGCACCAGCATTTAAAGGTAAGGTGTTCTTTTCTTTCTTTCTTTCTTTCTTTCTTTCTTTCTTTCTTTCTTTCTTTCTTTCTCTTTCTTTCTTTCTTTCTTTCTTTCTTTCTTTTTCTTTTTAGAAATGCATGGTGTCAAAACAAAAAAAAAATCAAGATTTTGTGATGAAGGAATAGTGGACAGAATACTGAAACTTTGTCTATGGTAGCCTGCTCCAATATAGTGTCACTCTCTATATTTAGGGTCCCATGCATACTACATCCACTTGCTGTTCTCTTTCATAGATAAATAGGTAAATAGAGTACCGTATTTTCCGATGTATAAGACGACTTTCTAAACCATGCAAATCTTCTCCGAAGTCAGGGATCGTCTTATACGCCGGAAAATACGGTAGGTGTTATCTAGTCATTTTTGGCTCCTGGCAGCTACATAGAGCCAATTTGGTGTAGTGGTTAAGGTGCTGGCCTAGAAACCAGGAGAGGGTGAGTTTTAGTCCTTTCTTGGTTATGAAAGTAAAATAATAGCCTAATGGTCTTATTTACCTCTAGCCCCAAACACACCCCAGAAGATTGATGATTGGCTATAGACTAGTATTTGGATTTTAAAGTTGTGCTTCAGTCCAGGAAAAAATATATAACACAAGAAGTAGTTATTTTCTACAAGTGTCATCAATATTTCTTAACATTATAAATGTATCCACCAAACCAAGATGCTACTAATCAGCTTTCCATACCTAAAGGGAAACTCTAATCTATGCTTAGAATTGTGCTGTATGAATATGCCTATAAATTAGTCTTTTATTCCAGCCCTACCATTCCAATACAAAATGAATATATCTATGAACTAACCCAATTCAAATAAATTGTATAATCAAACTATAAACTACAGCTCAAGCTATAAATATCTAATTCATAGATCTCATTTCTTTAATGGTTACCGCCTAAATTTTGTTTATGTATTTTGAGCTTTAATAGTTTAAAAAAGCCAACTCCATTAAGTAAACTTAGAGGATTTTAGGAGAGACACAAATGATTGGCTTGTGCTGCTTGGTCATGTTATTTCAGATGAGATCATTGTCAGAAATAATTCCTGTGTAAAGTATGGTTGTGTGTGTGTTGCCAACAGGGTGTGTTCACTCTGGAACTGGCACTTTGTTTAATATACCATAACACTGAGATTCAAGAAAGCTTCAGATCCTACTGAAATTCTCACACAGTAACTGATTTTATCTAGCAAAACTTTTAAACAATTACATTAATGGGTCGAAAGAAAAGATATTTTAACCCTTCTTCCCACACCTTGGGGAGTTATCTGCAAATTTTACACTGATGTTAAACCTGCCAAGTTGCTTGGAATGGAATTTCAATTACAGATGAATCAAATGACAAGTCTGACATAAATGAAAGGGAAGAGGAAAAAATGACGACATGCTCTCAGCTTGGTTTATTAAAGACAGCTTGGCATTTCATAGAACATTAAAAACTGAACCAACCTAAAGTCCCACAATGCTTATTTATCAAAAGTAGTCAAAATCATGCCAGAATCATAAATGGAGCCTTTCCCAGGGGACAAAAGAACAAATGAGAGTATTTGGTTGTCAACTTCAGCTACAGAATGTGAGAATTGTTAAAAGTCGCAGCAATAATCTTTCTCAGCTTTTCCCATCTACCCACACTGGAAAAATCTACAGCAACAAAGGAATGTTGCTAATGGATCTTGCTCAGATTGCTGGGTCTGTCCCATCACACAAGTGTTTTGGGGATCAAATTGCTAATGTTCCAGAGCTCTTTTCAGTTGTTGACTGTCACAAGTCTTCACTACACTAAGAGGCACATCAAAGCAGCAGACTCTCCTCCCAATCTATACATAGTTACTGAACTATGGTATGGTTCATCTGGTTTTGGCTTGGCTTGGTTGTATAAATTGTTCTATTGTTCTATTTTTTTATTATAATTTATTGTGATCATCTGTATCCTACCTTACTAGAACACCTCTAGGCAGAATAGCAGTGATTGTGGCTTGTTCTGTAAACCATGGATAAACAAACTATGGCATGGCGTGATATATATGTAAGGCAGTCCTCATTTAATGGTATTAATTGAGAACAGAAACTCCATTGTTAGGTAAAAAAAAACCAAGTGACTCTGCCACTTAGCTGTCACAGTTTCAGAAGTTGGTCATTGATGCCATAGTTAAGCAAGAACTAAGTGGTTGTTAAGTGAGGACTTCCTGCCAGCTTCCCCATTGATTTGTGGGAAGCTGACAGGAAAAGTTACAAAACATGACAGATTATATGACCTCAGGATGCTACAATAGCCATAAGTACAAGATCTGGTCATAATGACCTCTTATTTAGCACCATTATAAATTTGAACAGTAGCTGAATAAGTGGTTGTTAATCAAGGACCACCTATATATGGATAGATGCTCTCCCAATGTGATTCAGAAGTCTGACTGAATCTCCCAGCTAATGAATTTAAAGCTGAAACTCAAGGGTCAATTTCAGATATTCATAAGCAAGGCTTGATCCAGAAAAGTAAAGCCTGCAGCCAGTGCCAGACTATGAAATCAGCTCCACAGGAGAGAGATTGCTCAATAAACTACTTTTGAGATAAGTATGATTAGCTACAATTACAGAATCTTGCAATTCTGACTGTGTGCTGTGCCTCCTCCTTATTGTTCAGTGAGGCGCCTGCCTGATTCATTTCTGAATGTTATCTTACTGTTCTGGGCTTAAAAATGCCTTAGTCCTTTCTGCAACTGTTTCTACATATCCGGGTTAAAGTCATCATCTTCACAGTCTACCACTTTCCCCTTTCCATAACAGGTCATGAAACACATATAGACATAGCCGTACATCTACAAAAGACTTCCATGTCATTTCATTAAGGTCCACTTAATGAAATTCCACAAGACGGAAAAGAAAAAGAATGAAAAATTATCTACTGTCTAGGACAGGGGTAGGCAACCTTGGCTCTTTTATGACTCGTGGACTTCAACTCCCAGAATTCCTGAGCCAGCATGGCTCAGCTTGGAAACCTCTCCCTTTCCCTTCAGCATGGCTGGCTCAGGAATTCTGGGAGTTGAAGTCCATGAGTCATAAAAGAGCCAAGGTTGCCTACCCCTGGTCTAGGAAATCATTTTACCATATTGAAAGCCACCCTCTGGATTTGTTAGTGTCTATCCTTTTAGAACATATATAGATTCTACCATAAATATAATTTTCCACTAATTTTAGCCTTTATTAGATTTTTTTTTCCCCTGAGATACTTCATAGGTAACTCAAGGTGGCGAAAATACCCAATACTCTTTTTTTTCTCCTGTTGTCCCAACTGGCCTAAAGTCACCTAGCCAGCTTTAATGCCTAAAGTGAGACTAGAACTCAGTCTCCTGGTTTCTAGCCTGGTGAATTACCTATTAGCCCAAATTGGCATCATTATCATAATAATCAAGCTTAACATATCTTACAGATTTCCTATATCATTTGCGGTTTACTATTAGATCTGGATATGTTTCTTTGTTTATTATGCTCGTTATAAATATTTTAAATTTCATCAATTCTGTCAGAAACCCTGATTATATTTAACATTTAAACAAAACCTACACCTTGTTCTTACTATCATAATTCAGTAACAGTCTCCTCTATATTAAATAGAATTGTGGTTATTTTTTAATATAAAACTTAACATTCTATATTATCACCGTCATAATTTCCAGTTTTATCCAACAGGATTTAAAATATTGATAATAACAATTATTTTATTATGCAGAGTTTTAGGTTCTATTATGCTGTTTCAAGAAAATGTAATTAAAAAATAGCCAGACATATTTCTTTGTAAAAGACATAATTAAAAACCAATGAATCACTGAGAGAATTGGAATTTAATTGAACAGCTGTTTTAATAAAGAAAGGTCATATTCCCCTATTGGTTACATGTTGAAAAACCGGAAACAATGTTTTGCTCTCCCGCCAATATTGCATCTCACGGTTAGGTTCCTGATTGCTGTTTTGAAGAAACATCTGAAGTACATGAAATTGTTGTCCATTTTGCAGATTAATCTCCCTAGCACCATAGTGAATGCAGCATCAATTTGGGAGATGCAAGCTGTAGCTCAGCCTATATAAAGGCAATTTGTCCTCCTTTAATCATGTCTGCCGATGTAGGAGAAGAGCAAGCAGAACTGATGACGGAGTTAAAGACATTATCAGCTTAGAGCAGTGATGGTGAACCTTTTAGAGATCGAGTGCCCAAAAACTGGCCCCGCCCCTGCTCTACCCCCCTGCTCTGCCCCCCATCCCCCATCCCGCCTGCCCACAGGACTACTCACTGCCTCCAGGGCCCGCCACAGATCACCCAGGCAGCCCAGCAGCGCTATGGGGGCCCTACCCTCTGCCCGTGCCCTGCAGCATCAACTGCATGATGGAGTGTGAGGGCAGAGTCAAGTCATGGGAGGAGGCAAGGCTGGGGCAACGACACGTGTGCCCACAGAGCTCCGAGTACCACCTCTGGCACCCGTGCCATAGGTTCGTCACCACTGGCTTAGAGTCATTGCATTCCCACAAGCAGGCCAAGTCCAACGCCTCCTGAATTCTAGTGCCCTTATCTGGTGCCAATTTATTGTTGAACTTTAGTTGACCAGATTCTTGTGTATAGGCTATGCTGCAACCTTACAAATGATCCTGATTCTTTATGCCTGACAATGTTTTGTAGATATGGGGAACTGGGAGGAATAACAAATCTTGACTTAGCAATAGCAATAGCATTTAGGCTTCTATATTGCCCCATAGTGATTTACAGCACTCTCTGGGTAGTTTACAATGTAAGCATTATTTGCATATTGCCCCCAAACATCTGGCTCCTCATTTTACCAACATCAGAAGGATGAAAGGCTGAGTCAACCTTGACCCCTGTCAGAATCAAACTGCAGGCTGTGGGCAGAGTTTGCCTGCAATACTGCATTCAACCACTGTGCCACCAGGGCTCCTTAAAATGTTCAATGGGAGAAAAGCAACCATTTGGGTAAGGTTGAAGAAACAAATCAATTTTGTTGCTTTCCCTTACAACATGATTTTCATGAAAGGGATTATCTTTCCTGAAAAGATTTTAGCATCTTTTGGTGTAAGCAGAAAGCAATATTTTCAGATTAGCTCTTGAGTTTTCCATCTCTGATTAGGCAACCGCATAAGACATTTTAGGATTCACCGTGGAAAGCTATCTTCTCCCAATCATAAAATAGAAGAATAAATGGAATTGTAGTTGCTGTACAACTGCAGAATTCAATTCTTAATCCGTTCAGGATAGTTCAGCTGCTTGGATGTTTAGTTATCTAACAAATATGTGTTGTTGTTGTTTTAAAAAAACAGGAAATTCCTAAATCTAAAGCTTTGGCAGGAATGGAAGGAGAACAAAACAAGACCACAGGGATATTACAACAATAGTAGTACACTAGTCAGAGACATGTGCTTTCAAGAAGATAGGAGTGTACATCAGATTCAGAAAAATCCACAGCCTAAACATCTTGATTCAGGCAAATTCAAGAGCTATCCAAATTCAGTTCCTCTGAATTGGAGGACGGGAGCTTTATTAATCTATAGTAGCCATAATCAAGAGTCTAATAGCATCTTTTAGACCTAACAAATTTTATTGAAAGGCATATGTTTAAAAGCCTTTATTTCATTTCATTTCATATGCCTAATACAACTAAACTAATCTAGGATTTAAATTGGGTTGACATGGTGGTTATTCAGAAGGAGGTAACGTGGAAGTGATTTCAAACAATTTTATCAATTAACAATTGTAGTATGTAATCTTTTAAAAACCCATTGTGTCTATTGAGACTTTCTAAGATAGATTTCTATGTATGCAAATTCCACAGTCTTTTGTTAATTGTGTAGTTAAAATTCCTTTTTTTCCCCCAAACAGCTATGGAATGCCTTAGGAGATTGAAATAATTTGCTATTACTTTATCTTGTGTTGAGTTCTGATGTCAAATTTTGTGTCCATTAATCCTGTTACACAAATTTGGCTTATTTTCTTAATGTAAATCCAGAGAAGCATTACTAGCATATAATGACATATACGGTATCACATTAGACACATTTCACACACTCTTTCTCTAATCTCACATTGAGACCAGTGATGGTATTGTTGGCTTAAAGGGGTGATATGTAAATGTGAGTTTGTTACAGGGTCTGATTTCCATGTTGGTATCACTGTCTTGTTAAATCTTGATACTTGTGAGAATCTGCTTCAGGCTGGATGCTTAGTTATGTATAAATACTCCTGCCACACAATACCTGAGAAAGTACAGACTCTTTTAAATTATGCATTTCAGTGATTTGAGCTGTGTGCTGTAGATGATGTGTTTTGTTCTGTTTCTGTAATCTGTCTTTAACAGGTTCTCTTGAATATCAGTTTGACTATATTGATTTGTCTGTTGATCTCATTTGGTGGATTGTTCATAGTCTCCCCAAAGCTTGGGTTAATTCCATTTTCTGGCCATCTCTTCAAGTGGGTCAGGACAAATGTAGATATAATTTAGAGCCTGGTTACAAAAAACAGGTTGTGTGGTGTGTTCTGGATGGAAGCCAGAAGCATGTAAAATTCATATGATCTTTCCTGCGTGGTGTGGCATTAACATGCTCATTGTGAATTGTATCATGACATGAAGGAATGGATGGATTCTAAGATAAAGGCTGAGGTTGATGACAGATTTGATGATTCATTTCCATGGGTCCATATGAAATGTCAACAATAAATCTCAAAGGGATGGTTTTAAGAATTAAAATTCTAGGTCACCCACTAAAATGTTGGCTTATTGTGGTGCCACATGTGTTCCACTGATCTGAAAATGTTACGAACAACACCTTGTTCCCCACTGTTTTTATTAGTGTGATATCAGAGCTATGATGCTAATATGATGAGAAAAAAAGAAAGGATCAAAAAAGATAATGTGAAGAAGGGACCCAGCTAATGAGGCTTGCCTTTCCTGTATGGATGGGAAGGGCAAGAAACAGGGAATGACCAATCAGGAAAGGTGAGCTCTGTTAGGTTTCCATAACCTCAGGGCAGGCCCTTTAGTTAAAAACAAAACCTCCTCAGAACTAAAGAAGATTTCACAGGACTGAAGACAAGACACTTGCAAAATAAAAACATATTGTTGCGTCCTTCGCGAAATGGCAAGACACGAGAAGCAGTTGTAGTTCTCAAGACTTCTTTATTCTTAGTTCAGCTTACAGTTAGAAGACACACAGCAACGCCCAAAACTCCTGGCCTCTTATATAGGCCATTCCCGGGTCAATCTGCAACTTTTGGCGCGCCAGCACTTGCACATGCGCACAAGTACTGGCGACAGCCTGTCTGGTCCCGGGCAACTTGCACCTGCCCAGGACCGTTTGCAATGCCCCGAGCCTGCTTGCACAGGCCCAGGACATAACACATATCATCTAATATATTTTATTTGTAACTATTTAAGTCCAGGTTTCATTAAAAGAAATCCCTGAGCAGATAAAACAAAGCAGTAAAGAACACTAACTTCAGAAGTTAGAACTGTGCAAAAGGATAAAAATTGACACAGCAGCTTAAATTTATCCTAAAGTTTGATGAACAAGAAGATATGTTAATTTTGCCAGTTAATTGGATTTAATATCAATCATAAATGAATATAAATCAGAATCAATATTTAAAAGGCCCTCTTTGGATTGCTGCATAGCAAATATTTATCGTACACCCCCTTAATTGCTGGGCAGACATACAATATAATCTTTTGTTTAAAAAAGAACCCCAGGCCACTGATCAGAAAGCAAAGGTCTAACTAATAGAAAATTGGCTTTATTTGGGGCATTTGTTTATTGGTCCTTAATCTCTCACCAAACCAAATTCTCAAGGAACCTTGGGAGTTCCACAGAATACACTCTGGCAAGCCCTTAATCCATTAGTTCCACCCTATGAATTATGAACCTATAAAAGTATGAAGCTCTATTTGTTGCACCCCTTTATCCTATCACGTTTTCCAAACAAAAATAACATTTTTCACATCAAAGCTAAAACAGCTGATCAGTAATTTTAAAAAAAAATCAGCAGGAGGTAGAGTCTCAAAGGAGGCTTTCTAAGATATTTTTGCTTTAAACGTTTCTTTAAAATATAATACGAAACACCAGAAACACAGCTAACTTCAGGCAAGATTTATTTCAGTTTATGGAATGTTGGGTTACAGGAATTCTTTGCTTCTGGCTAGTTTGGGGGACTGCAGACATCCCATGCATGCATGAGGTCTTAATGGCAGGAGTTCATGCTATTACCAACAGTAATAGCCGTGAAGTGGAATGTGATCTGCACAAGGCAAATGTAGCCTTCTGCCATTCATGACATTCTGAATGTCTTAGCTGATCACTCAGTATTAGTATCTTCTCTTTGGTGTAATATATTGCAAGATGCCATGATATTTAAGAAGGCACTGCATAACACAGAGAGTTCACACATGTTTCTCATCGGCTTCCATGTATACATGAGAATTCACCTAAACGTGAATGAAATAATATATAGATTGCATTTTATCTCCAACCCAAATACATTACATTTCCTGTTGAGCCAGTTCAAGGGATGATTGAGGAAAGGTATGAGACATCTATCATAGGCGTTTTGTCTTTCTTCAGACACCTTACTCTTTCCCACTGCTTTTCTGATTTATATTTTCCCCTCCTCCACTTCTTTCAGATTAATTTTGCTGCATTTCTCATCACTCAGCTTTTGGCATAATTATTTTGAGCTCATGGAGATGCATTATTCTTGAAGGGCTCATGATTAGACGATAAGGAACATAAAACAGTCTCCCTCCCTTTGCTATTGTCTCATCTTTGAACCTTACAAATGCACAGGTCAGCATGACACAAGAGGAGAGGGAATCTGCGATTCCCATTGCTTTGATGACTTGCAGCTCCCAGCATTAGCTGTGCTGGCTGAGTCCTCTGAAATTTACAGTTCAGCAAGATCTGAAAATCCACAGGTTCCTACTCTGCAGGTTGCTTCATTGTACTTAGTGGAATTGATTGAGCTATTTATATCAGAATTCAATTAAAAAAAATGTCTGGCATTCTTGGCCATGCTCCATGCTCAAGCTAAACAAAATAATCAGGTTTTTTTTTTCAGAAACTTCACATGGTAGTTTGCTTAAGACCATCACACCAAAATGGTAGGAAATTACAAGTAGTCCTTGACTTACCATCATAATTGAGCCCAACATTTCTGTTGCTAAGCAAGATTAAGTGAGTTATGCCCCATTTTACCACTTTACTTGCCACAGTTGTCAATCACTGCAATTGTTAAGTTAGTAACATGGCTTTAAGTGAATCTGGCTTCCTCATTGATTGTACTTGTCAGAAGGTGACCACATGACCCTGGGACACTGCAACGGTCATAAGTGTGAAAAACAGCCATAAATCACTTTTTTCAGTGATGTTGTAACTTTTAATGGTCACTAAATGAACTGTTGTAAGTTGAGGACTACCTGTATACAAATGAAATAAGATTATGCCTGTCCAGCTGTTCCTGCCTCCTGCGGAAGGGGAAGAGGTAAGAAAAGGAGGTAACAAATTAGTTCATGGAACTTGAGTAACTTGAACTTGATAATGATAACAAATGATACCATTCATCTGTTTATTCTTCAGGACAGAACTGACATCTAGCTATGATGGCAACATGTGCTAAAAGTATGATAGACAGATGAAATTCTTAATCGGTATTTTAAAATATATCTGTAGAAAAAAGCTCTGCGTGAGAAATGGCTCTGGGATGGATTAAGCACCCTTACTCCAGAAGAACAAAAAGAAATGCAAAACCAACATCGAGAAGATCAATACCGAATTAAGAAACTGGAACAAAATATTCTCAGGTACAACATACATTTTCTTCCTTATTGGTGTAATAGGAATATAAGCCCTTGGGATCAGAACAATATTTTTTTTTCTAACAGGAGGATTAGTTTTAATCTATTTAATAATAATACTAACTTTCTAACATGAAACAGAACAGAGTATTAAAAAAAACTAAAGTTATTACACCAGGCAATGCAGAAAAAATAAACAGAAAATGTTAAGCACTGGTCAATTATTGACAAAATATTAAAAACTTCAATATTTCCTAATAACTTATTAGCTTAATCATGAGTTTAATAGCTAACATTAAAAAAAATCTGATAGTAACAAGACAGCAAAAACTTTACAAAATTAGATCTGCTGAGGCTAACTAAGGCCAGATCAAAATGAGACCCCACATAAAAATGATAAACCAATGGAATACGTTGCCTAAATTTTATCTTGGTACTATTGCAATGTCCAAATCTTTGTGCGGCAAATAATATACCATCAGCCTAGGTGATGGTAAGACATTTGATCTAATTTTACTAAAAGTGATCTAGTATTAAGATTATTTAAATAAAAGGCCACCTAGAATTATAACTGGTGTCACATATCCATAACAACCTCTATTGTCTCTTGAATAAAGATATCCCATAACGGAAGGAGATTTATAACCTCATTGAAAAAAATAGTCCCCTATTAAACCAACATGGGAAGTTTTCTTAATCATGTAATTCTAAAGCAGGTGAAACTATCATTCAAAAGTTCAAGCACTAATCTGCTTCTATTTTTAAAAACATAATATTTGGAGCCATATTTTACTGCAGTCAGCCAGTCTTGAGTTTTAAAGGGGATTTCCAGTCTTGAAGGTGATAATATTTGAAACCATTTAAGACATTTAAGAGAACCTGCAGGAACTTATATTCCTGGAGATCATTTTTAGCTTTAAAAGCTGAATTGATTTAAAGTGAAATTGAAATTGCTTAACATTAAAAACCTGAATGGTAGCTGAAACAAACTTCCCACCACCAAAGTAGAAAAAGCAAAGCAAAACAGTATTCACAATAATAATAAAATTTCTAATCTGTTCTGATGACTGGTATAGATATCCCATCTATAAACAGTTGGGGTTTTTTACTCCAAAGCCAGGATCTTGAACTTTTCTTATTTTTTTTTCTTTCAGAAGTCAGAAAATGTAGCTAAAAAGCACCTCAACCCTAGTTTGTGGTAATAGGTCATTCTCTCTGTTTAACAACACACAATTTTTTCTGGTACCCAAATTTGATGAGACCTCTCCTGCTTGGAAAAAAAAGTCTTTTACTTTAAATTACAGCTCTTATAATCTACAGTCACTGGCCATTCTGGGTTACATTAAAGGGAATTAATGTAAAAAAACAGATCCTGGATATCCCAGATAGTCTGTTCCGTGCTTTAAGTTCTGGCTAATGCCTTTGAATAATATAAAAAAACAATGTATTATTCTCTCCTTTTCCCAGGCTATTGGGTAGAAAACAGCTCCAGGAAAACCCAATCTAACACAGAGAGAACTGATAGCTGTGTGTTAGATTAATGCAAGAGTAGAGACCTAGTATCCTTCTTATGTTTTGGATTACAACTCTCACGGTGCATTTCTATGGGCTATTTGCTAATTGAAATCCAAAACATCTGGAAACATTGATCTGCTAACCTCTGGTATTTAGCCCATATTTCCTTTTAGTTCGATCCTGAACTTTCACATGCAAATCTATTCCAAACCATTCTCTATTCTGGAATGGTTTTGTTTTGGTGTATATTTACAATATGCCTTTTATTGGAATAGATATCAACTGATTCCTAGCAAAATATCATCAGGTTTAAATCAGAAAGGTTGCCAGGCATTCACTACACTCCTAGGTCTATATCAGTGATGGTGAACCTTTTAGAGACCGAGTGCCCAAACTGCAACCCAAAACCCATTTATGCATCGTGGGGTGCCAGGTGGGTGCGGCCCAGTGGGTGGGCGTGGCCGCAGTGGTAACAGCAGACTGGATGGGACTAAAAGGTTCAATCAATTCCAACTTTGCAAGATTTTTTTTTCCCGTGAGAAGTTGAAATTGACGGATTGATTGAACCTTTTTTTTTTTTTTTTTTGTACACGGCGGCGGAGGCCTAAAATGAAAAGGTTTTATAAAACCCAGCTGAAGGCCTAGGACTGGGGCGATGGCATGCATGCCCACAGAGAGGGCTCTGAGTGCCGCCTCTGGCACCCGTGCCATAGGTTCGCCACCACTGGTCTATATCATCACAGAGCAAATGGAATGTAAACCCTATGAACAGAGCACAAGACATACTACACAATTCGGTATTGATTTTACTGTGTTCCGTGCTCTATGAGCACACTTTAATAAGATAAATACCAACCAATTCCAATTCTGGTAGAATATGTCACCAATGCAAATCACTTTTACACTGACATTCTCCATCCAATAATCCATTTTCAGATAAACATTGGCAGCTGAAAACAAATGTTCAGGCCCATGCCAAATAAAAGAAATTCAGTTCCAAGAGAATGCCTCAATGGTGCAAAGAAATGTATATTTTTTACGTCAGGTTTTTCTACAGTGCTGGCATACAAAAGGGACTGTCCAAAATATAAAATGGAAAATATTTCTTTCCATCACCTTGGTCCATTACTGAAAAAATCCTCAGTAGTTCAGATCCTTAGAAGATAAATAATGGGATGTAGGCTGAGATTTTGTTTAACAAATTTCTGCAGGCTTCTACCAAACCTCAGGGGGCAGAGTGTCCATAGGGCAGGGGCTACCACAGAAAAGGCATGCTCCTAGCTCCCATTATATGACAATATTTGGGGGAAGGGACCAGGAGCATATCCCACCCTATCTGATCTGTGAGATGAGTTAGATGTCCTTCAGGAAAGGACATTCAGCAGATAGCCTGGCCCTACTTTAAAGGTAATGACCAACACCTTGAATTGCACCCATAAAGAAACTGAGAGCCAGTGCAACTTGTGCAACAGAAGTATTACACAGGCAAACCTAGGGGCCCCATTACTGTGCGCGCTGCTGCCGTCTGGACCACTTGAAGTTTCTGGGTGGTCTTCCAGGGCAGCCCCGTGTAGAGAGCATTGCAGTAATCTACCATTTTTTTCCTTCTAAACTGCCACCAGTATTTTTCACCACAGCCTAGAGTTCTCATCATTATCCTCATCTTCTGCCCTCCTGCTTAAGCCTATATTATTTTACCATGTAACTAAAATAATATTTTAAGAGGCTAACAGGTGCCTTGCCCTCTTCTTAGCTCTTGTGTTGATTTAGCCATGTTGGAGGGAGGGGGAGTGTTGTACAAAGGACAAACCCTACCCAGCCCTCTTCAGAGACTCTCCAAAGCTGCTGCTTTTGTTGCAAGGATACTGCAGCAAGCTGCCGCATGCCTTTGCTTCAAAAAGTGAGGACAATCCCAGGGGCCAAGAGTTCCTGAAAGTGGGAAACTGCCTATGTTGCAGCTAATGAGCAAACACAAAGCCAAATCATATTCACTGTGTTTCCTTTGGGCCAGCAGCTAAACCAATCAATACGCAACAATATTCAGTATGCAACAATAACAGCAACAAAAGAAGCCTTACTAGTGTCGTAGCTATAAACAAAGCAGGTTTTGTCTGTCACAGCTTCTCCATATGAACGAGTGCTGGATTTGGCCAATCTAAGTAACAAGAGTTTCATCTGTTTCCCCAACTCTTTCTCAATCAAAAATCACTGTCAAAAGTTTTCGACCATTTGGGGATATGCATGAAAATTGTATTGTTAAAAAAAATGAAGATTACCTGTCAAACATTCTTCTCAGTCAAAGGAAAAATTTAAAAATCTGTGTTAGGACCAGATATATGACATGGCCTAGGGCTATTTTACTTCTTCCTCCATCCATTGTGGTCTTTGGCTGCCCTAGAAATACAGGTAGTCCTCGACTTAAAACAATCCATTTAGTGACCATTTGAAGTTACAATGGCACTGAAAATAGTGATTTATGACCATTTTTCACACTTATGTCTATTGCAGTATCCCCATGGCCATGTGATTTACATTCAGATGCTTGACCTCTGGTTCACATTTATGACGGTTGCAGTGTCCCAGGCTGAGGTGATTCCCTTTTGGGACCTTCTGGCAAGCAAAGTCAATGGGAAAGCCAGATTCACTTAACAACGGTGTTACTAATTTAACAACTGCAGTGATTCACTTAAGTGTGGCAAGAAAAATTGTAAAATGGGGCAAACTCGCTTGTCAAATGTTTCACTTAGCAACGTAAATTTTGGACTCAGTTGTGGTCATAATTCGAGGACTACCTGTATTCGGTGCAGGTTCTGGCACCAAAAGTTTGCCTGCTCCTGATTTAATCAAATAAGTTTTGAATCAACCTCATGTTAGGGCAGACTCCACCAAGCCACTTTGCAGAATAAGGTGTCTGCTTCCTGCTGTAAAAGTTGGTAGATGAGATGGAGGGATAGTGACAGTAGCCTACCACCACTTTTTCTCCAAACTCTGTTTCCCATTAAACATGGCATGGTGATGTCCTGTTAAAGTTTGAAATGCTAGTTCAGCTAGACACAGCAATAGCACTGAGGCTTATATACTGCTTCCCAGTGCTTTACAGTCCTCTCTAAGCAATTTACAAAGCCAGCATATTGCCCCAACAATCTGGTTCCTCATTTTATCAACCTCAGAAGGATGGAAGGTTGAGCCTAACCCTAACCTTGAGCTGGTGAGAATCAAACTGCTGGCAGTCGGCAGAATTAGCCTGCAATACTGCATTCTAACCACTGCACCACCACGGATCTTGATTCTGAGAAAGAGACATTAATGCAAACTAACTGGAGAGAATAACAGGATATAGGGATTCCTAATTTATGTATGTAGCAATAGCAATAGCACTTAGACTTATATACTGCTTCACAGTGCTTTACAGTCCTTTCTAAGTGGTTTACAGAGTCAGCATTTTACCCCCCCCCAACAATCTGGTTCCTCATTTTACTGACTGAAGAATGGAAGGCTGAGTCAACCTTGAGCCAGTCGGGATCAAACCGCTGCCAGTGAGTTGAATTAGCCTGCAATACTGCATTCTAACCATTGGGCCACCATGGCTCTTGATATTGTACATGGATATTATACATGGAAGCAGGTAATGAATTACCTTGAGGCAATCCTGATTCTGGAATAGACTTTTTCTGAATTGGGAGTACAGTTCCCACAATTTCCAAAGCCTTCAAATTCTAGGCGTTGATCTCCAGCAAGTGCCAATTTGAGAAAAAATGGTTCTCTGTCATGTATTCATTACTGTTAATCTGGGGTCTATCTAATAATACATCTATGCAGGCTTGAGCAAGAAATTGAGGATCTTGAGAAAGAAGAATTGACAATCTCGGTAAAAGAAAAAGCCATTTTGAAGAAACTGAAATCTGTTGAAAGGACCACAGAAGATATTATAAAGGTCAGCATCTAATTTTGAAATCCTGTTGCCGCTGATACAGTCAATTGATCTGTCAAAAATAACAAATGAGCTTTAAGGTAGGCACAGAGATGAAAGCAAGGAAAGATTCAAGGCTACAATTTGATGCACAGCACTAGAAATTAATAATAACAAAAAACTTACAAAAGTGAAGCTCAGGATCAGATACTGAACACAAAGTAAATGTCAGGATCAATCCAGTTATATTACCAAGCCTCGATTTTTTAGCACTGCCAAATCTCTTCCACGTTATAAGAAATTTTTCCCCCTAAATTTCTATTTTAACCCTGTAGCAGCATATAATTGTACTTTATGGTATGCACTGAAGTATTATTGCAACATGAAATTATTTGATCTTAACTAATAACTGTATCTATATTACCTAAAAGTTAAGAACATTTGAGTATGTTCCCTTGCTCTCTCCAACCCCCAAAAGAAAGAAAAAGAATGATGTATATTTATTCATCCTTCAGGGGAAGAAGTCTGAACAAACACAGAAGCTTGCTCTGAAACTCAAATACAGTATTATGCAATTGGCACAGTGTGGAAACTTCTCAATTTTATTGAGAATATAGTAGTACAGAGACATGGACGGAAACACTTGTGTTATTGACTGGAAATGACAAACACATTTACCACTTTAAAACAGGGGTGTCAAACTGGATCCGTCATGCACCGGCCACGCCCACCCCGGCTCCGCAAAGGCAAAAAACATTGCAAAACGTCACAATATGTCACGTGACACAATCGAGTTTGACACCCATGACTTAAAAGGTTTTGTGATCACTTTAATACCCAAGGAAATGCTTGCTCCCTTTCGGGAAGAGAGAAACCTTGATTTCTAGAGCTGAGCTGGATTTTTACAATAACAGCATGGCTCTGGGAAAGTATAGGCTTATTACTGCTTTGCTTCATTCCAGTTTGTGAATTCTTCTCCATGTTTTATTTGTAATGATTCCCTACACACACAATAAGGTCAGATTGCACTAAGTTTGTGAACAATTTTTTTAAAAAAGCAATAGAACAGTCCGTATAATTGCAGCAAGGACACAGGAAATTTTCTTCTCCAAAAATATGGTCCCACTCACTTTTCAACCTCTGTCCCCCTTCCTCACTTCCTATTAAAACATCTACATTTCTTTGTTCAGTATGTGGTAGAACATTCCGTGCTAACATTGGTCTTATCAGCCACCTACGGACACATCATTGATGGCCCATAATCTACAAGATGTCAAGGTCCTCATCAAAATCGATGGACAAACAACACATTAAAGCATGACCCTTGGGTACCAAAATATTGCTCCTCTCTGTTTTATAGAAATTATTTTTCAATCCCAATTACTTTGAAAGCTGAGATCTTATGCACATTTATTGAAAACTGTGCTATGGGATATATTCCTGAGCCACCATATGGAATTGGGTATATCAAATTAACCTAATAAAAAGTAATAATCAATTGTATTGTAATTCTTTAAATGATGGGAAAAATCACAGAATTCTTTGTTACTTTTTTTTTTAGTCCGTGAAAGTGGAAAGAGTAGAGACTACAGAAGGTATGTTTCTCTTACACTTATTAAATTATTTTATGCAGAAGTAGAAGTGATATATGTACTAATTAACTATCCATTTTTATAGAGCCAGCTGACTATATATATGCCAACATACCAGACCTTCCAAAACCTTTCAGACCTTCTGCACTTAAAAAGGCAGGCCCTCTGCAAACAGACGATGAAGAAGAAAATCGAAAAGGTACAGATTAACAGTCCAGTTCAAGGAAAAACCCTGTGTATGGTCTTACATTTTGAAAACAACCCAAGTGTCATCAAAATAGCACACATGGTTGTTGCTGGTTATTATTTCATAAGTTCATAAAACAAAATTTCACCAGACCAGCATTTTCTAACTCGGTGCCCTTCTAGATGCATTCCGTTCCACGTAACCACCTTAACAGAAATTATGACTTGGGAGGGCTTAAACTGACGCATTTCCACATGTGGATTCGGCTTCCCTGTGAAACAAGTTCACATTTCCCAAAAATATATATATTTAATGCTGGAGATCTCAGATTTATTCTTAGCTCACATATGATGAAGCTGGTGGTAACTAGTTCAACTTTAGCAGCCTAAGCAAAAGAACAGGGATAATAATAATAATAATAATAATAATAATAATAATAATAATAATAATAGTAGTAGTAGTAATAGTAGTAGTAGTAGTAATAGTAATAGTAAAGTTGGAAGGGACCTTGGAGATCATCTAGTCCAACCCCCTGCTCAGGCAGGAAACCCTATACCATTTCAGACAAATGGTTGTCCAGTCTCTTCTTAAAAACTTCCAGTGTTGGAGAATTCACCGCTTCTGGAGGCAGGTTGTTCCACTGGTTAATTGTTCTCACTGTCAGGAAGTTTCTCCTTAGTTCTAGGTTGATTCTCTCCTTGATTAGTTTCCACCCGTTGCTTCTTGTCCTGCCTTCAGGTGCTTTGGAAAATAGCTTGACTCCCTCTTCTTTGTAGCAGCCCCTGAGATAAACTAAGAAATGTTGTGTTAGTTTGTCTCCTCTTCTCAGCACAAAGAGTTGTCATGAAAAGCATTGGGCTATGAAATTCTCTTTAGTGTGTGTGTGTGTGTGTGTGTGTGTGTGTGTGTGTGTGTGTGTGTGTGTGTAATGGGAAGGGGATTTTTGTTTGCTGTAGGAATGGCAGCAGATCAGGCCAAGGTACACTAGGTTTCCTCTTCTTGTTTTTTTATTTTATTTTTTTTCAGTTTGGAAGAAGTTAAAACCATTGCAGACTGCTTTCCAACTACTTCTGAGAGCTGCATATGACTGTCTAGCCCTCTATTATCTGCATTTGGTTTTGCCCAGCCACTGGTATCTTCTAAATATGTTGGATTACAACTTCCAGAAGATCAACCAGCATGAATTAAAATTCTCAGAGTTGTAATCCAGCACATCTGGAAGACATTCACTTGAGAAAATCAGGGACACATTGCAGTAGCTAGAGATAGTTGCAGAAGCTTCAGACGGAATCCAATTTTTTGGCAGGAGATGGGCCACCAAATTATGGCTCTTGCAAAAAAAACCAAAGTTTTCTATTTCCTGGTAATTGATGGATCAAAAATGATTTATAGTATTTTGGGTAAACAGATTTACTGGTAAATGTTTGGCATGTTAACCTACATAGATTTCCTTGCAAAGCTGACTCACGTTCTCATTTAAATTGTTTACAAAGCTCACACACACATACACACACAAACCCATCATTTTAAATTTGACCATAAACACTGTATCACAGAACTACAACAGGTTCATCCCCAGGGGAGGCAAGAAGAGCAAATATATATGTCATTTCATCAGGGGCTGCCATAAAGAAGAGGGAATTAAGCTATTTTCCAAAGCACCTGAAGGCAGGACAAGAAGCAACGGGTGGAAACTCATCAAGGAGAGAAGCAACCTAGAACTAAGGAGAAACTTCCTGACAGTGAGAACAATTAATCAGTGGAACAGCTTGCCTCCAGAAGCAGTAAATGCTCCAACACTGGAAGTTTTTAAGAAGAGACTGGACAGCCATTTGTCCGAAATAGCGTAGGGTTTCCTGCCCGAGCAGGGGGTTGGACTAGATGACCTCCAAGGTCCCTTCCAACTTTACTACTATTACTATCATTGGCAACATGATATGAAATTTGTCATTCGTGAAATTGCACTATTTATATGTTTACATCATAATGCACGTGATGATGCCATCATGGCTTCTACCAGATGCCTATATGTACAGAATAGGCTCAATTTTATTACAATAAAACTGAGCCTATACAAAGTCACACTGTATTATACTGAGATTTCTACAATGCAAACAAAGCCACCTGCGCTACCTTATTCTAATCTGTAATGCATAGTAAGAACAGCAGGGCAATTGTAGAAAAGATACTCTGAAAATAAGGAGGAAATGTGCCTTATGTTTACTTCCTCAATGTCCTCTTAGGTGAAATCAAATTCTGAACTAGAGCTAAATTGGACTTAAATAAAGAGGATTTGTGTGACATAAACTGGAAGAAGCAGGTAGATTGGATGAAAGTGCTCAATCTTTCTCTAGTGTTGACTCCTTCTTACTTCCTAGCAGTTTTTGTCCTAGTATACTGTAATTTACTTCCTATATGGAGCAAAAGAACTGTAAGTAAGGAGCTAACTGAGGTAGGAGAAATTCCCCACACACAAGACTTGAAATTATTCAACCTACTTTGCTGGCATACAGATCTGTTGTTATCTCCTATAGATTTTTAAGTTGCTTATTTGTAATGCAATATGCACCTGGAGGAGCAGCGGAGGACGCTGTTGGCAACGGAGAGCATTCCCAGAAAAGGAGCGAGATTAAGACACTGTGCGATCCTGAGCTGGATACAGAAGGGGGAAAAGCCACAGCCTAGAATATATCTATATCTTTAGGTTAGAAAGTTATAGCTTTAGTTTGGCAACATTCTGTCCATTAGGCATAAGCAAACAAAGGATTAAAGTGGATTGGATTTTGCTGTGTCATCTCTAGGGTTGGACCTGACAATATCATTAGCTAATTACCTTTTAAAAGGTTGCTTGCTTCTTTCCCTACAGCATTGTTTGCTATGGAAATTAAAGTAAAAAAAGACATGAAGACTGGGGAGAGTACAGTTTTGTCAACAATACCCCTTCCTTCAGAAGAATTTAAAGGAGCAGGAGTCAAAGTGTATGACGATGGCAGAAAGTCTGTCTATGCAGTGTGTGCCAATGGGAGCATAAAGAATGATGATGTGGATGACCTTGCCCCAATTGAAGTGGAGGATATCTTACGACAAGCAACTGAGAAACAATCCAAGTCTCCCACTGAATATCATGAGCCAGTATATGCCAACCCGTTTTGCAGACCCAGAACGCCTCAAAAGAATAAATTCATCCAAGAGGCAAATGGTGGAAAAGATAACATCCAGAATAAGATCAGCCACCTTGACAATTTTTCTAATGAACTTGTTGATAAGGATAAATGGCATGATATTAAAAAAGATGGTCTAGATACTTCAAAGAGCTGCCAGCAAAACTCTCATTATCCAGTTAGTCAACAGTTAGGAAGGCCTCTACAGGTTATTCCTCAAAATAAGCTAGTATCTTGTGTCCAAAGAGAAGCTACACAAGAAACTGCTCAGCCTTATCAAAAGATAAAGGAGTACCAAGATAAGAAAATCAGAAACTCTTCTCCGGTAACACTAGAGAGTGAGGATAATTATAGCGTGGTCCAAGCAATGCCATGTTATGTGGATGATACAGAAGAACCAGTTACAATGATATTCATGGGATACCAACATGTGGATGATGATGAACTAAATAAAAAAATCTGTGGATATGATGGGATTATCCATGCGGAACTTGTTGTCATCAGCGATGACAGTGAAGATGAAGAAAGAAAAATTGAGACACCTCTTTATCATCCGGTGGGTCCTTATAGCCAGGTCTATCAGCCATCCAATCAGACGTGTGCAGTTTCACAGACAAAAACTATTGGAGACAACATAAACAAGCCACTTTACAAAAATTCCATGTCACTGAAAGAACAGGAAGAAAGTTTGAGCTGTTCTACCTTTAATGGTCAACTTGATGGCCACTTAGCAAGTGATGGAACAGAAGAACCTTCCTTAACAGGTAAAAAAATGGGCAAATCACAGCACTGTTGTGCTCTCATATAACAGATTCATTACTCACATTGCTCTCTTTCTCTTCTTGTTTTTCATTTTAATTCTGATTCATCTGCAACCTTTAACCAATTTCCTCCCGCTCTTCTCAATTCTAATCCACCCTTCCTCACATTCTCCTGATGTATTGAATTCCCAGTTTCCACAATCCCTTGCTGACATTTTCAATGATTAAGTTGAGTTGAACATACTATGTTGATTATACATCATAGAAAATGAAGTACATTTGGAGGGCTGCAGATTGAGGAGGCTTATTTAACTGCCTCATTTAGTTTTTTAATAATGTGCAATCATAATGTGAAGGATCTAAGTGGTCAGAACAGAAAGTTTGTTTAATATTACTAAAATCTAATCAGAATAATAATGCAAATCAGGTATTTAACTTTCTAATTAAAGCATGTTTTGAAAATAGTATTAAGAATTCTCATTGCACCTATGCAATATATGGCAAATCAATTCAGATTGCATTTTGGTGATTAAATAATAATCTTTCTTTCCATTTTTGGAATTTACTCATATGTCTTGCCTTAATCATTATTGGATAGTGCCCGTTTCACTTGACAGGATTTAATGCAACTTTTAATATATAATTTTATCATGTTTTAACAGAGAATGCCTGTTTTAATAGTAAAAAAAAAATAACAGAAATCCATTTTTGTCTGTACATTAATCTCAGACTGTGTTTCTACCTTTAATAAAAGCTGTTACATTTTCTAATCTTTTGCATGAAATCATCTCACTTTCAATCTTTTGCACTCAAAATGTTTTACAGATCATAATAGCCTTAAAATCACGTGGAGTCAGAGTTCATATTTTTATTCTGTGTCAGTGCAAACACAACTAATAGTAGCTTCCTTCAACGAGTGCAAAACAGGTAGCACAATCTTCATACAATCAAGCCTTTTGTTTATGCAAGCCTATATTTGGTCTAAGATGAAATGTTTGCTTTTCCTCTAAGAGGCGCTAAATTGGTCTTTTAATCCTAGTTAGTGGACAAAGCAAAGAAAGGATGCAGCATCTTCCCTTTATTCATTATTGTTTAAGTACTGAACAGGGACCAATGTCGAGAAATAAAGGATTGCTAGAATGTCTAGGGAACAATGTTTTCTTCGGCAGATGTATAGAGATCCCAACTAGTGATACAGGTCTCAGACTCATGATGTGGTTGGATTTCTATTCCAAGTGCAAGTGAAAGTGACAGCTGAAGTTTCTTTCATCAGACAGCAAAAAAAAATAATTACATTTGCTAGCAATAAATCAATAAATGTGCCCTATTTATTCTCGAACTTTCAGGAAGAATTTTATGGAAGAAAAACCTGTGTTGATGAAATAGTACAAGTTCTCACCTCATTCAGTGCTTGGAGGTTGCAGACATCTCTTTGCAGACAAGAGTCCCACACACAAATGCACACGCTTTGTAAAAGTATATTGCGAAATGAAGATCAAATATTTTCTGTTTTATAACAATCATGCCCCGATTAGTGCGCCCTTGGGTTTAGAATAGCGCTCTCTCTCTCTCTCTCTCTCTCTCTCTCTCTCTCTCTCTCTCTCTCTCTCTCTCTCTCTCTCTCTCTCTCTCTCTCTCTTGCATTGTGGACTTAGAACCTTTAAGGCACTCTGTTTTCTGCAGAACAAATAGTAAAGGTATTGCAACAGCGGGTGGATCACAAGCTTTCACAATACTGTAGTTTGACCCAGTTAGCACAGCATTTGGACCAGGGTATACCTCAACCTGGAGTGGCCCTGCAGTGGCAGACCAGCCGATTTTCCTACACGTTGGTCCAGTGTGGCTTTCCTTCTCACTTTGCCTGATTCGCACAGCTTGACAGTAGTCTGCAATTTATAGTTTGATGTCACATGTTTAAAATGCAAGCTCAATAGTAGCAGACCAATACTGTATATGAGAGAGCAATGTCCTTTTATTAAAGGGACAGCTGGCATATTCTTATACATGCCTCACATTCTTGAGTGGGTGAGAGATTGCAAAGCTAATGGCTGTCCAAGTTTGGTTCCCTTTGGGTAGGAAAAAAAAATCCCTGGAGATTTAAACATTTGTGGTGAACACAGTTGAGCCTGAGGGCACATTTCTATTGCCCAACATGATATTTATTTATTAATCAAATTTATAACCACCCACCTCATTTAAGTGGCTCTGGGTGGTTTACAAAGAACATTGTAAAATAATATAGAAACATGACTAAAAGCACAGTTAAAAATGAAATTATTAAGATTTACAAGTTAAAAGTAAAAAAATCAGAGTTAAGAAATTAAAGCTAAAAGGGGTATAGCTTCAATAGGGTTTTCCATAATTAAAACCTGACTTAGCTTCTTTAAATAGAGGGCACTAGATTAAACCATCTTGATGATGGAGCAGAGGGGAAAGTAGACCTATGGTCTCCTCAAAACCATTGAAGAAGATACTTTATTGCATGATTACCCTCAATATTTTATGGAATTTCCCTGTAGGACAATCTAGCAGCAGATTTGGTGATTGCCGAGAGATTCAAGAAATAAAAAAGGAAATAGTTCTTCACACAGTGTAAAACTTAACTGAAATTGAACTGCCATCAACTTGTCTTTAAAAGAAAGATTAGAAGTGGATCTCTCGAGTTGAGCTAAGTTCCAAGTGATTTCACAGCGGGATTCACAAATTCTCCTGGCAATATTATAGGAATAATTTGACATTGTCTTCTACTGTGATATTTGATTTCCCTCTCTGACCTACAAACCTGGGAATTCATGGTGGTGGTCTGACTGTGCTTAGCTTTTTTTGGGGGGGGGATCAGGCAGTGGGTATTAGTCATGATTGTTATATGGTCCCGGATTAAATTCAGCATGCCTTGGGACACCAGTTGTAGGAAATATCAGCCAAGCTGAGAAACAAACGTTCTTGGGCAAGTCTGTAATGCACACTTGTCTTCAAGCAGATTCAAATCAAAATATATTTGTGTCCAGACTCAAGTCAGGCCTTTCTTGGTATTGCTTGTGCTGTATATTTCATCTTTCTAGGGTCTGTTGTTAACAAATTCAGGATTATTTCAGAACTATTTGTATGTATTTTCTGTATATATATTTTCTACCACTCAAACATCTTTTCCACAGGAATCTCTATTTTTGTGATACTTCTCTAATAAGTGTGGTTTGAACATATGTTCTAATTTTATGCAAATTTTGGAACCCTAAATCACAGTTTGCATGCAAAAATATGAATGATACCTGGAAATCTAGATTCTCTGTATGACCAATCTCAGCTTGGGTGTCTGTTTTGATGGGCCAAATTTCCCATCTGTTACTAGTAAAAGGATTGGAAAATGATGATGAACTTTTTGGCATGTGTATGTCAAAAATTTGGAAAATGCTTGATTCTCCTGGTGTGTGTGTGGGTCTCTTACACCCATACCCACACACCTGAACAAGAGAGAAAGCATTGTCCCTGTTCTCGGCCATCCTGAACACTGGCACTTGATGGCAAGGCTGGGCCTGAAGTAAAGGTCTGAGCTTTTATTTCAGCCCTAGTGCACAACTGCCCCTCAAATAGATCCCCTTGCACCCTTCCTCAAGGCACACACACCTTGGAGAATGATGTAATGGCCCCTGTGGCTCAGTGTTCCTCAGGATCTGCCATCTTACCATCAGGCGATGTTCTCTTTCTGTTGTCAGGCCCCTGCGGCCTACCTGAAGCTGCTCCAGGTCACACAAGGCCTTTGTTCTTGAAGCAGCTTCAGAGAATGCTCTTCCACGGCAGCTTCCAAAAATTGTGCAAAAGCACACCCCATTCCCAGGTGATTTTCAGAGGCCACGTAAGAACACACCCCATTCTCATTCTATCTCCACAGCCTTTGAAAATCACACGATAACGAGGCATGTTTTCAAAAACACTTGTCAAGTGTTGAATGCTGGCATGCCACCCAAAATTTTGTGGTGTGTAACCTTTTAACACACAGGGTCATAGGTTCGCCATCAAAGGGCTAAGACTTAAGTCTGTGTGGTATAATGTAAGAACTGATGACAGAGTACTTGATCACCTGCTGATGTATTTCTTTGATTCCATGGTTATGGACTTCCCAAATATTGAAGGATAGAGTCTGTAAGATATTTCTAAGTTATAGTTGGTAGCTTTTTGTTTCCCCCCTTAACATATGGAATGCTGCTTAAAAGAAACCCAAAAGACAATGAGTATCCTAATTTTGTCCATACAATACACTTGTATGCTTTGCTAATTGATTTAGTCAATGCTTTTCTCTTTATTGCCCTACCAGTCTGAGCTCACATTACGGAACTGAAATAAGCACATCAGTTATAGACATACCCTCGTAGCATTTGCTATTGAAGCAGTTCGATTGCCTTTGCCTTGGTCCCCTCCTCCATAGCTTTCCCCACACATTGTCCCTCGGCCATAACACATACTGAATAATCAGAGAATACAGGGAAATGAGTAATTTTCCAAAACAATCTCATAATTATACTGCTTGTTCTAAAAAGGAAACAAAGCCAGGAAGAGTAAGGTAGCAACGTACAAAGGGTTGTTTGTGAAGTGAGTAACACTCTTGGAATATTTTCAGCAAAATTCCTTTGTCTATAACCACTGATATCAGCAGCAGTCTCTTTACTGGAAAAGATAAAATAGTTTACATTGTAGAAATCCAAAGCCTAAAAGGCACTCAGGAATAAAGTAAAATATAGGACGGACTAAGAATGTACATTGTATGATAAAGGACCTATATTTTTGGTATAAGAACAAAAGGAAAGCAACTGTGGACTGGAAGAAAGTCTCTTCACATTGTAATTGTTTCACATCTTGATGAAGTAGAAATGATGGACTTAAAATCCTCAGCATTCGTATTAAAATTGTCTTAAAAATATAATTCAGATTTTAAGAAAGGGCATCTAGCTGAAACGTAAATCACTCAATGCTTTATGGCAGTGTTTTTCAAACTTGGCAAATTTAAATTGTGTGGACTTTTAACTCCTAGAATTCCTTAGCCAGCATTCAGGTAGTCCTCAATTTACAACAGTCCATTTAGTGACTGTTCAAAGTTACAATGGCTCTGAAAAAAAAGTGACTTATGACCATTTTTCACCATTAGACCATTGCAGCATATGACCCAGGGTCATGTGATCACCTTTTGCAACCTTCTGACAAGCAAAGTCAATGGGGAAGCCAGGTTCACTTAACCACGTTACTAACTTAACATCTGCAGTGATTCACTTAACAACTGTAGCAAGAAAGGTCGTAAAATGGAGCAACATTCACTTAGCAATTATTTTGCTTAGAAATGGAAATTTGGAGCTCAGTTGTAGTTAAGTTGAGGACTATCTGTACTTCTAAACTTAAGTGACATGCTTAAGCCATGAAAAGTGGACAAATGTTTTAGAAAGATGGATACCATAGGAAAATTTAATTCTATTTTAGATATTAGTGCAAGTCAGTGGTTCTCAACCTTTCTAATGCCGCGACCCCTTAATACAGTTCCCCATGTTGTGGTGACCCTCAACCACTTATACATCACCGGGTGCCAGAGACGTGGCCAAAGAAAAGGGGGGGGAAATGGCCGACAGCCTTGTTTGGCGACCCCCGTGAAATGGTCGTTCGACCCCAAATGGGGTCCCGACTCACAAGTTGAGAACCACTGGTGCAAGTGGAAAAACTATCCCTTACATTGGTATTTTATATTCATTACAGACAGAAATCTAGACTTGTAATTAAAAGCCAAATTATTTAGGTGAATAGTAGACTGGATTGCAGACTCAGTTGTCGCTATAATACACTTGACAAAAAGTTTAAATATCATCCATTCTTTCTCATATGGCTATGCTGTAACTTGATAGTACATGTATTAATTTCTGATCTTCTTTTACGCTAGCTTAATAGTATTTTCTGGGAGTAATACTAGGAGGTAAGTATGGCACTTCTAACTAATTAATACTATAATTTTACATAATCATATCAATATATAATATTTTGCTTTTGCTCTGTTTTTTTACAGCTCTGAGAATGAGAATGGCAAAACTGGGGAAAAAAGTGATTTAAACAGCTGCAGTGATATAATACTCAAAGTCTGGCAGTTTAACAAAAGAAGAATTTTCTATGTTTTGGACCTGGGTAGCTTTTATTTACTCAACAATACATCTATAAGAATAATGGCACTTTACAGGAAAATGAATGTTTGCCAGTCCTAATATATGGATACCCTGATCCATAAATAAGTATTGTTAAAACAGTGTGTTCCTCAAGGAATCATTAGTGGCATTTCTTAGGTATTTGTCAGCCTTGTTATATTTTATAAGAGCTGAAGGGCCAGTGTCACAATACAAATGCATCTAGCATTTTGTTGAAGAAGTCTTGTCCATCTTCTTCTCTTACTGACTATACCTAAACAGGAATATAGGATATGAACTGACTTTCCAATTCCTACTAAACTCTGTTCCATTTCAGCAGTGTTTTTCAAACCTGTCAAAAGCATTCTCCACGTGTGTGTTTGATCTCGGAAGCTGAAGACCTCAAGCATAGCCATCAGAAACTATGTCATTTGCCAGCTCTTTACTGTAAGGAATAAGAGCTTTATTATGGCTGGTAGATAAAGCCATTAAAGCACCCCTACTGTCCTCAATAGTAATGTATCCTGGAGAGGCAGCCACTTCTCATTTTCCTTTGAACACAGGAAAATGCCCCATTGTTTGGGAAATGGGGGCCACTCTTTCCTTCATTTGTTTTCTGTATTCTGTATTCCTATCTGTGTTTATTGCTCATCTTTGGAATGTAGCCAGTAAGGCATCCTTGTGCAACAGTTCTTTTTGTTTCCTCTAGCTCTCTGATAAAACTTTGCTTTTGAGCTGGAATGTATATACCTCTCCCAGTTTTTATACCAAAGCTTGCATTTATCATCATGGTATCTCAGTACTTAGATTAGACACACAACATTACTCAGAAACTGGATTATAAAAAATTGATCTGGTCATTACTAGCTACATGCTTCTGAATGCAGCATGGCCCAGAAATCAGAATGTTCTATTATGGTATTATGTAAGGCTTTCTAGTTTGATTGAGCCTATATATCGGGAGACAGTATTTCATATTTGTGTTCCAAAAAATACTCAGTGTAATTTAGGGCTTTTTTTAATATGTATTTTTAAAACATATTTCTCTTGGGAAAATTAGACTGCTATGGACAACTTCAACATGACTAGCTATGGCTATAAACCTAATCAAGAGCACCACACAGTGTCTCAACTGTAGAAATGTTATTTCAGTACTCAGCTGTGTATTTAAGAGTTCAATCTGAAAATACTTAAGAAGGCACTATGCATGTTCTCTAGAAATGAAAGTGGCTAACAAAAAGGCCAAAATGGAATTACGATGCACTTATCCTGTGGGAAATATATGAACAATACATCATACATGAGACTATGAAGCTATCCTCCTCCCCAAAAGAAGTCAAAGGCTATTTAAAATACACTGCTACAAATTACTTCACATATTTTGAATATTTTCTATGTTACACATATATTTGTGATGAAAAATATAAGGAGGAAGAGGAAAACATTTTTTTTTCCAGAATCCTATCTATGCTGATTGCTCAGTGGATTTTATTTCAGATTTAGGCTATCTAGAATGATCCTGTTTAGCTTATAGCTAGATCTCTCTTTACTTTTTTGCATTCTCAAGAGGAAGACACCTGTAGTTTTTAAAAACTGATCACAAACTCTTCTGCCCATCTGTTAAAAAGAGCTCAGAAAGGCTTAGACCAGGAATGTCAAACTTGCAATGTCACGTGACAAGTCGCAACGTATCGCAACTTTTTTGTCATTGCCGGCAATGTGGTGGGCATGGTTTTGCTATGATGCTTCTGGCCCACGGGCCGGCACTTTGACACCCCTGGCTTAGACAGAAAAGTAAAAGTATTACTGCCAAAAGTGGTTGGAAATAACTTAGCCAATGAACTTCATTTTCTACTTTTTTTTTTTTAAGTTTCTGGGCAGCTTCTCAAAAATCTAGTCGTGCACACAGGAGTATATAGCAAATCATTCACAAGACTGCTTCTAATTTTCTGATGGAAGCTGTGACCACCTTGCTAATAATTTCTGCATCTAAAAGCAAGGTTGGAACCCAACATATTTCAAAATAACTAGAATCTTAGATGGGACCTTATGTCTTAAAGAGCAATCTCTTCTTTCCATTTCTAGACATCACAATTCTCACAAATTCGGTATTTTAATGTTATTAGTTTTCAGACACTGATTCGTAGTCGATAGGTACAGTTGCTGCCTAGAGAAAAATCTCTAGCAAAATTACACTAAGTCATAGGAATTTGAGAAGACACGACAACATAACAAGTGAACAAACTCTTTATTGGCAAATATATTTGCAGCAAATAGTAATATGTCTAGCAGCTATATATTTAGTTAAACATTGCTTAGAAGTTATAAAGAAATTCCCTTCAAAAACTGGGACAAGAATTTCATTCAATTAAAAATATTAAGTCATTGGTGTGCAATATCTATAAAATTACAGTGTTGCTGGTCACGAACATCATTTTTATGGAGCACAATAAATAATGGAAATAGTCTGACACCAAAGAAGACTTGAGTTGAAAGGTTTCTTTTTACTGGATCCTCTTTAGGGTCAGAGTCAAAGAAATCTAGTAACTTGCATTGCTATTTCAAAACGTGGACTGGAATTTTACATTAACGTTTTTAGCCTATTTCCATAGACAGCTCCATCTAATTCCTGACTTTTCCAAACCTAGCAGCATCGCCTACATACATCTGACTTCTTCTCTAGAGGTTCTTCTAACCCTGTAGAACACACCCAGGGGTCTATAGTAGAAGGGTAGCCAATGGGTGGACACAATTAGAGGGCATCCTAACTTTAGCAACAATATATTAGACATCATTTATTAAATACATGCTAAAGAGGACAGTATAGTACCTAGTTACTTTGAAGACAAAGAGGTAGTCTACAAACATATTCAAGTGTTTAGAAGTGACAAGAAATAACAATGTTCAAACAATTGTCATCACTCTTGGAACAATACGTGTCATTGCACATCTCAATCTAAAAATCTGTAATAAATACTTCAAAAGAGTATTCTCCTTTTACAAACATCTTGCATTCAAAAAAATTCAAGAAAAAGGAGCTTCTTGTAAAAAAAATGTCAGTACTTGGAGATGGGCTTCATAATACTAAAATAGTGGTTATCTGTGTGTGGGAGGGAGGGAAGACAAAAGGTGTGAAACATGAGGCACATGCAGCAGCATCTTTGGTGCAGGTGGGGATGATGAACAAGCATTGTGATTGCAATGCAGCTATCTTTCGCATGTATGCACTCACATTCAAAAGAGGTGGCTCTTTCATCATTATATTCTATCATCTGTGGACCGCATCGTCACTGAAGACCACATTTTACCGTGGTGTGAAACATCAGCCACATCTGGCGGGTATGTCCTGGAACCTGAGGAGTTCTCTTTAGATGAGTAAATGAACTAACAATTGTCCACTGGCTCAAAACAATATCCTCTCCTAGTTTTCAGGTAATAGATAAAGCTACAGAATACAAATGTACAACATTAAAGCAAGCAGTTAACTCGGGAAGAAGCCCAAGACAGTTTCTTATCAAGACCAACAAAGTTTGCTCTTCAATGGCTGTGTGCTGAAAAGTTGTTTTCACATCTTAAAGACAAGTTTCGTTGACAGCTATGAAATCCCGCAAGAAGCTATTTTGAAATGTAGTGGCAAACTCTTTAGAATAGTCAAGGCTTTTACGGAATCATACTTGCACAACTGCTGTGATGAAGGTGACAAGAAATGCTATGTTGCCACAAATGTAGATAAACAGCACTGTTTTTTTAAATGTATGGCCCTGGGGGAAGAAAAGGAGAAAAAGAAAAATTGAAGATGGTGACTAATTTATGAAATTATTAAACCACATCAGAAAAAGGCATGTCTACAATTATTCTTGATGGTAGAGGTTAATCTGTGGAAAAACAAGACTAGCATTTCAAGGAGGATAAAATTAACAGAATCGTGTTAATGAAAAATCATCTGAAAACGAAAATCCTAGCCTAGTCATGATTCCCCAGAGACTTCCCTTCCCCAAGGAGAAAAAATATTCCTATGCTCTAACCCTATTGTCTTAAAATATAGATTTTAGAAGGCGCTTCGTTTTTTTTTAAAAAAGTAGTTTGTCTTTCCATTCTCTCTACCATCTGACAAAGGCCTACGCTTACCTGGGCTTCTACAGAATTTAAGGACTGCAATAATTGTATCCTGTCATCTTCCAACACCTCAACTGTAAAAGAGAAGTATAATTAAAGCTACTCTGGAGGAAAGCATTCTTCCTTTCACTCACACACATACTATCACCTTTTAAATCAGTGTTTCTCAACTGTGGCAACTCTAAGGTGCATGGAGTTCAACTCTCAGAATTCCCCAGCCAAAATAAAAGAAACATGTTATCCAAAAAGATAATTGTGTACATACAAACTGTACAACATACCAGATTCACTATAATATGACCACCCACCCATTCACTATACCAGGGGTACACAACCTTGGCTCTTTTATGACTCGTGGACTTCAACTCCCAGAATCCCTGATCCAGCCATGCTGAGGGGAAAGGGAGAGGTTTCCAAACTGAGCCATACTGGCTCAGGAATTCTGGGAGTTGAAGTCCACGAGTCATAAAAGAGCCAAGGTTACCTACCCCTGCATTATACAATAAAAATCCATTTAATAGAACATGTTTGGAATTCGTTATGTTTTTATGGAGAAGGGGAGATGTTTTCTTTCCCTTTTGTTGCATTTTAAGTTTCCCACTGGATGGGAAACATGAGGTCAAACAAAAGCTTTCAGAGACAAATATAATGACAATTCCACACTTCACTCCTTTTCCAAATAGCTCTTTTTCTTCATTCTAATTTGCAATAGCTGCCCCTTCAAAATGCACATAAGGCATTTGAAGAAAAAAAAAATCCTGCCATTTGTTGCACTAAAAAAATAAAATACTGGCCATACTTGCTGTGAATGCCTTCATCTGAAAAACTGGCATATTGCCTCATGTATAAGTCTCTATGGGCATGTATACACACAGATATATAATTATAGTTATTAAGTATGGCTATAGGAGAAAGAATACTCCTGGGCTTAACTGCAACTTGAAACCTGCCCTTTCTTAGCATGTCAATGAAAGGCATTCTGTACAGCATTCTTTGAATGTTAGCACAGTGCTATTTTCTGTACAGTAACTAGCTGTCCAAATGACACACCATTATAGTTTTCTAGCAGGAGGGGTGAATTTGGATTTCTTTTTCACCTCCTCACCTGAAAAGCAATTAGGATTCCAAAATGCCATTTTTCTCTGTTAACAGAAGCCAATCAATGAAATTCTCTTGGTCTATCTCAGGGTTGGGGAACCTTGGCTCTTTTATGACTTGTGGGCTTCAACTCCCAGAATTCCTGAGCCAGCATGGCTGGCTCAGGAATTCTGGGAGTTGAAGTCCACGAGTCATAGAAGAGCCAAGGTTCCCCACCCCTGGTCTATCTGAATAGCAACATCACAAACTGGTGGAATTCCCTCCCTTGAGTTTTACATCTTGATTATTATGTTTTGCAAACACACAAGTTTCTAATCAAGAACAGATTTTTTTTGTTCATACGCATAAAGCTTTGCAGGGCAGAACCTCACCTTGCTAAAATTAACAGTTCAGTACTTTACTGTAAGAAGTGGTAAATATAAGTCTTTGTGTTACAAGGCAACCAAACTCAAACTACCACTCGTGATTAAAATATTGAGCTGCCTATTATTTCTAGGATTTCTATAGGAATGTGTCACAGGGAAAAGTGTA